GAGCGCGAAGTATAAAGAAATCCAGTCAGACCTGAAGTTAAAATCAATGTTAATAAAGCTGAGGGTCACAATGAGTGTTTGGTGGACCTGAGATGATGATCCAGGTATTCAGCTCTTGCATTATGTTCACTGAGCCTTGGGAAGTGAGTCTGTCCTGTTGATGTGAAGGCTGAATTAATGTATGACTCCCGCTAAAATCCCCAGATGGGTCAGTGTAAAGTCAAAGAAATATTTAAGATTCTTCTGATGGGTGGTGTCTTATCCTTTGAGCTGTCAGGTCTCATGAAAGAAAAACAAATTGTTCTAAGGGCTTGATTTCCTTGACGCATCTGAGTGATGACAGCATGTTACATATTTTACATATGTTATGTAATAAAGATGACATGCATAACTTACATATTTTATAACAAAGATTTTAACTCTGGCTAGCTGCAAATTGCGTAAAATAATATAATTTGCCTTGAATACTCAGCAAAACTTTTTGTCACTTAGGAAACTTAAAAATACAGTTTTTCAAATTTTGGTGAGGCGTATAGTTCTGAAATTTGCTTCAATAAACACTAGTCTTATTCCGTTAGTTTTTCATTTGTTGTAAATTTTATAGGGATGTAATGACAGCGTTAGTTTATAAGTTCATAGATGTTATAATTCATTTATTTTTATTTGGCAAACATGAAAATCATTCCAGTATCCCATTTGCTCAAGGTAATTTATGGCTTTTTGCAGAATATTCATATATATTTTTTGAGGGGGCTGTTGCACTGGGGCACTGTAATGCTCATGACGACTTCCAGGTAGGATGCTGCAAGTTCCAGGGATTTATGAGTGGAGGACTTGGTGGTTTGCTTCTCCGTGTGCCTGGCACGGGGCAGCCATGAGGGAAGGTTGCAGCCACCTGGTGGCTGCCGAGTGACCTGGGTGAAGGGAGTCGATGCCATCACACCAGGGCTGTATCACTGTCCTCGGTACAGCTGGTACTACTTGGCATCCCTGCTGGCAGCCTCAGCGGGGCTACTGAATCAGAGCACCGGCTTGGTCTCCTCATTTGATGTGCGTTGGCAAGAGTTAGCTGAAGAACTACTTTTTTCCCCCCCCACTTCTCTCAAAGATGCCATTTATTCTGGTTGAGTACAAGGTAATTGTCACTGATGACAAGGGATCGTCACTCCATGACTTTCTGTGTATTCGTACGTAGAATTTGTAAGAGGAGCAATGGTGAAAGATCAAGAGCAAGTATTATTATATACACATGAAAATACTGAAGCACCATGAAAGCGTAATTGTACTTTTCTGTGAAATTACTTGAATGATTGATGTCACAGCAACCTCTGTGACAATGGAGAGAAACTAGATAAGAGAAAAGATTTTCTCTGTTTCACAGAAGCTTTATTCATGTTTTACTTTTTTCCTGTGTGCACCCCTCTCAGCTGAGTAGAGTAAAAAAAGAAATAGTTTCATCAAGTGTTGTAGAATGCCAGAGGTTAACTGAAAGCAGAACAGCCTGAAATACACTGAGAGGCTTCAGACTCTTTCTTATTTTGCTCTTTCATATAATTGAGAAGTGTAGATCCAATGCTATCTATCAGAACTACTATGCTACATGTCATAGTGTAATATAATAAAATACTATGTTATGACGCGAACAAAGAGTCTTGAATCCAAGGTCCCATGTTATTTTCCAACTGTAGCAAACAATACAAGAATTCTGCAAGCTCTTGAGGTTCTTGCACAATAAAATCTATTAAGGGCCCAAGCAGCATATGTAGCAGCTGAAATAACTTTTTTGTTAATTTTAAAGTTAGCTAGGTTGTCTGTGTTAGAATCATAGAATCATAGAATGGCCTAGGCTGGAAGGGACCTTAGAGATCATCTAGTCCAACCTCCCTGTTTTGGGCAGGGACACCACCTCTCGACTAGACCTGGCAATGCATGGGGACCGAGCAGGAATCGAACCCGTGATCTCAGTGTTGATCCTTGTTGCCAGCACTGCGCTCAAACCACTGAGCTAACTGACCCCCCGGTGTTCCTTTAAAAACTTGAATACGTTTTTCTTGGAGAATGTCAAATTTAGTAAAGAGGGAGTGAGCATGTTGAATATTTTGAAAAGTTAGAGCTTGCTAGACTGTAGCAGTTGGAAATTTATCAAAAATTACTGTGCTATTACCACACACACAAGCTAAACATATGACAAGTATTGTCTACTTTTTTTTTTTTACATCCCCAGACCATAATATATGAAACTCTCTTAGCTTTCTACATAGGTCTCTTGAAGTCAAACAGTATTAAACCCAGCAAATCTTACTTCTCCATTTATGAGAAGGACCAAAAGCTTTTCACAGTTGCTTTATGTGTTTAAAACAGTCTGAATATGTAGAGTGCTGTTCGAGTGTTAAGTATTTTCTCTTAAGCAAGACAAGTGGATTTAGTTAGATTGTAACCTTCAAAGATCACCCAAGGTGGTTGCAGTGCTGTGACCCTTTGTGGTCTTAACAGCTTTCGGCAGTATCCTCTACACTCACCTGAAACCTCCGTTGAGTCTTGGTGTGTAACGTTTTGATATGCTCTCTTCTCAGGCCTTTTTGAATTATGTGGCTGGTTTATTTGGTATATAGGGATGTTCCCTGGTTTACCTTTCCTGCTTTTTCCACTCACCACTATATTTGCAATATATTAAGACAGAAGGGGTAATAGACAGGTTTTTACACTAGGTAAGTATGGTCATGGAACAGAAGTCCTGTAATGCCCAAAGAAACCATTGGAACGCTGGAAAAGAAAGTGAAAATAATTTCTATGTATGTGGGGAGGCATGTGATACTAGGAAATAAACATTTTTAGCATAGCACACACAGTTTATTTATTCTGGAAAGAGGATTTATAGATGATATAAGCAAAAATCTGAAGGGAGAAGGAATTGAGACTAAATTAAATATTTAAATGCATCATGTTTATAATCTAGTAGATTAGACTTGTCATCATTACTATCCTATCAAAAAGAGAGTTGTTATTTGTATTTCCTTTTCTAAGGCAATAAATCTTTCGTAGCTGTGTACTTGGTTTGAATAATTGGAGTGTATGAGATACCCAAGATGGTTAAAATTGTTTCTCTTAGTACACAGAGAAGCAGGATTTCAAAGAACTGTCCTGAAAATTTTAATATAGCCACTTTAATCTCATGAAAAGCATCTGGGTTTAGTAATGCTTTATATTCACCAAGACACCTGTACCCTCTGTTGGTACACGCAATGCAGTGTATAACAAACAGGTTGTGCAGAGGCAATAACTTCACAAAGCTGAAAGGCTGGCATCAAAATGTCAGTCTAATTCCTTTTTCAGTCTTTTTTTATTTGTAAAGTCCAAAACATTTCCCAGCTGAAGTATCTCTCTACCAAAGTGTAAATTTGAACTTACTTCAAATATGCTACTTTTTAATTTACCTTTGCATAATCACAAAGTGTTGGCAGACCAGAGGTCAAAGGCCACTGTCTCAAACGTATTAGTCATCTGCATACTTGTGACTTGTTTAAAGAAATGTAATCGTCTTTCTAGGAAGTTATAAATATAGTTTGGAATAATTTTTCAGATGAGTTGGTAACACAGTGCAGCACTAGTTCATAGCCGCTGACGTGGATTATTGTCTTTTGGGGGAACAAGACAATGCCAATTTATAGATTTTTCCATTTTCATCTCCCACGTATGGAATTTTCAAGTTCATTTGTTTGCACGAGTTGTAAAGCTGGAAACTGCCCAGTTGGACAAAGTGGTACAGATTTTCAGGAAAATGCATCTCATTATTTTGAGGGGAAATCAATTTTAAAGCCATAACTATATAGCTTAAATGGGTTTAAATATGCTAAGTGAATGGTTGTGAGTTTCAGGAACTGTCAGTTCTTATTGAAGTGAATAGTTGTATTTAATTATGTGCTGGACAGTAATCAGTTCAAAAATGTGTGTATGTGCTCATGATATCCCCCACGAAATCTGTTCTTTCGAGGTATTTCCTGGTTTTTGTGCTATGTGAAATAGGTTGATTCATTCTCTAATGAGGATACCATTGTGTAGCTAAATGTTCTTCCATATGGTTGCATTTGAGCTTTTTTATATTTTTTTGTTAATGTTTTCAAATTTTGTGAAATTCATTGAGATGTTGGGAAACAGATAAACCAAATTGTTTAACTGTAAGTCACCTTATGTATAAGTAGCAATCAAAAGTTCAAGTTTTATAGACCCAAGAAAGCATTGGACACCTTGGAGATGTTTCATCTTCTCCCTTACTGTGCCACTTTCTCTTCCCAGTGTGGGAATTTTAAACAAGAACCACCTTAAATCTAAGAAAGAGGAGTGCTAAGCACAGAAATCCATGTAAAACTACTTGCCCTGGTGATTAGGTACCTGAATGGAAACCACTGAGTGATTTTATCTGCTTATGATCCAGTGTGCCTTGTTTGCCCAATTATTTTTGGAGACAGCAAATACCACTTTAGTGAAAGAAGAGTGTTTGTCCCATGGCAGGCACCCAGGACTTTTTTCCTGGCAGGTAAGTTTTAACCACAGGCTGTGCAGTCATGTTCCGTCTTGTCTGCTTCTCCCCTGGGGCCAGAGCTGGGAGCCCTTCGGTCTCTTCTCCACTTTGGCCTCACATGACGAAGGACCCTGCTCGGGGTGTTCCCAAGGAATGCAAGAGGGGTCCCTTTGAGTTGCTGCCTGTTGAAAAAGGGAAATTTTCATCTGGTTTCCATTTCTTTGAGATCAAGCCAGAGGGAAGTGAGAATTCAAGAAGCTGCTTATGGGTGGGTTGGACCAGTTCTCAAGGTGGACATATGAGAAATACTTAAACTATTACTTTGGGAATAGCCCTACGGCTTCTGAGCAAGTGAGCACTGCTGTCTCATTCCTGC